TATTTTTGGATTTTCGTTGCTTTAACTAGGGTGGAGTTCAAGAGGGAGAGTATTTAGGGCTTTTTGGTAGGCAGGGTCGTTATTTTATTGATGTATCTCAGTGAGTTTGTACGTTGTAATCCAAAGCATGGAATGGCGGTTCTCAAAACTCCATTGGTAAATATTTTGGTCTTGTCAGATCCCAAATTTAAAAGAAACTATTGAACATGAGAAGAAAACAGTTCCAAGTGCAAATTATACTTTATTGGCTTGAAACACCGCTCCGAAGGGGTGTTTGTTGAGAAAATACTTACCACAGTAAATATAGCATTATTGAACTGGCTTTAACAACAAAAAGCTGTCGGATATTTTAACGGAAGCGCTTGGGATGTAAATTGTTCTTTAGTTCCTGGTACGAAGATCACACTCATACTACTTTCAAAATGAAACTAAAACGTTTAACTTGCGCAAGTGCATTTAACACTCAGCCATGATTTGATAAATCTGGTTTTGGAATGCGCAGTGATATTAATCAAGCTGAGACCTAAATGACATCTCAGAAAAGCGAAATCTCTGCAATAGGCAAACCAAAGTGATCTTTCCTCTTTCGTCATACGTGATCAGTTTGAAACAACTTTTCCTGGAAAACAATTTCAACAAACTGCTTTGTTTGCTATCCATAACTTTTATTTTATGGTGCTTCGGTATACGTGTAGCCCATCAAATCCTTGCATTCACTCGTTTTAGTAAGGGAATTCCATGACTTTAAACATGCAACACGGTAAACTATTCCTTTATTGCATGTCATTGTGAAATTCGAATAATGGCCATTCCCAAACTTGATTTACTAAATTGAAACTATAATTAATGTGGAAAATGGATAGTTTTGTGAATCTATTTTCGTGGAAAACAACATAGTTAATTGTAGCTAAAAAATGTCACAAAGAACGAAAAACTGCTAATTGACAAACAGGAAAACAAAACAAGGGCATCCAGATGGATGTATCTTACAATTATGATGTCAGCTATTACGGGGTTTGATTTCTGACGTCCGTTTTCAGTATGTTCACTCAAGATCTCTGATGACTGGTGGAGATTAGTATAGCGTTCGAGTTATCACGGTGCACCTCATTTTTTGATATGAAAATCCATCTCGGGAAGTTTCACACATCGATGCAGTTCCATTGACGATTTGCGTGCTGCACGCATATGAATTATGCGATAGGCAGAACAACAAACAAATTTTAAAAACCGTTTGGATGCGAGAATAATTTCCCCCCTAAATGATACACAAACCATTTTTCATTACTTTCACTTACCTATATAGAGACGAACAATCCAGTCACAGAGACTCTTGATATTGTCTCCTCCCAGAAGATTTAAAAGAGCATTGAAGAATCAGGTTGTCAAGTTTGAATTGAGATCCTTTGTATAATGTTTGAATTGAAAAATGAAGAGCTGGGAACTAAACGATACCCATTCGGTGGGCTAGCGGTAAAGGTCATCAAACTTTAGCCCCTGAGGGCTTAGGTTCTAATACAGCCAACACTACCTGACTCCCCATTCTGTATATTATGGCAGCCCTTTGATCATATGTTTCGCCTTCTTAAAGGTTTTATTGTTATGTATTCAATAAAAGGAAGTAAAAGTGAAAAAGTAAAATTACGAAACATTTAGGGATTCATCGTCTCCGGATCAATGATGCAAATATTCACTGGAAAGATTATCATTATTGTACAGTTATTGTATAGAAATGCGTTTCTGGCTCAAATTGTTCAAGAGAGCAAACATATTTTAGTTTTTGACAAGACGTATCAGTTGTTTCTGGGCATCATTTTCCACTGACCCTTAACGACAACATTATGGAACCTCTGGCGCACTGAATACGCCATGATAAAGGTGATTTACCTCGGTATCACTTTTGAATCGAAGATCCGAGGTTCAAACTCTGCCACCACCACACAATTCTGGGTTCCAGGTCACCCGGTTCAGTGCCCCATTTGTAGTAGCGTTTGTCACTCCAAATCCAAGGATTCAAACAATTTACCTTGAACACCAGATCCCTGGATAAAGGAGCTTATCACGTTTATTGTTAAACAAGTAGTAGTAATGAAGACAATCAAAATATCTGAGTTTATTGAGGCGTGTAGGTTTATAAGACTGAGTCCCCGTAAACTCTATAGTTCCGTTGATATTTCTGTCAATGAAATAATTGTTATTGCTCAGTATTAACGGTGATGGGCCTTTGGATAGTGAACGAGAGTTCAATGCAAAATATGTTCTTCGTTTTCTTTCCGATTTATGTTGTTAATGGTTTCATTTGAAAACAATCATTGTCCGTTTTTCACACTATTTTAGTTCAAGTGGAAACATCCAGTTTCATTGAGGATTTAGGTAGAAAAATTCATTATAGGTACATAATGTAGGCAATACTCTGCTCCAGATTTCAATCCAACTCACTCGTATTCGATCAGCAGGACGAATTCGGTAACATCGTAAGGGAAAGGTCGAAACAGATTGGTCAGGTGAAGGTGATTGTAATAGTTCAAGGAGTCTCCTGATTGATGTTCAATGACTTCATTCTTTACGACAGATCCAATCTATGCAAGTGGTATTGAAATAAATAGAAATAAATAGTTCTTTTTATCAAAGGAATTTTAGCGGATATATTTCCGCACCCTCTAAGTTCTCAAATATCTCATGTAGTTGAGAACCGTTCTACGGATCTGGGTACAGTTAATTAATCATTGAGTGATGTATTTCAAGTTCGGCTGTCTCATTTATTGGACAACAAATGAAAGCTCTTTTTACCGAATTCCGCTGTCAAAAGTGAAACTATAATCAATCGGCATAATGTAGTTAGTTAATTACAAGATCTAAGTGTTTCATTGCATTTATGACAAACCTAAAAAGCCAAACATACAACGATCCATTTCCCTAGTCCATAAAATTGGAACAGTATTAGTATATTTTCCACAGTGAATACTTACTCAGTTGAATATATTTATATTGCAGTGCCCAACTTAAACCGGTTTGCTTGTATTATACCAATCGCGATCATCCTTTTCAGTAATGCCGTCCTGAAGGAATTCAAAGGATATTCTTTTCGATATGCGAAAAGTCTTTGGCAATGGTTTGTATTCCCGACCCAAATTAAATATTAAGGTTAAGGTACGCAAAGTAATTACCAATAGTTTTAATGGATTTCAGTCGCTTTTGCATACCAAACCATCCATTTAGGTTGTTTTACCTTCAATCAGCGGGCACTGATACTACGGGAACACACCGAAGGAAATGGCCTATATGCTCAGGTGCTACACAGGCTATTTGTGGTTGGCTTTCGCTTAGTCATGAGTGTCTAAAATGTAGTGTACCAAAATTTCTAAAATTATGAAGGATTAAAAAACAAAGACTAAAATAATGTAGTTATTGAATCGTGAAATGATTTATGCTATCATCCTTTAAGATTGTTGAGGTAGTTTTTTGCTGTCTAAATAGATCCTAGGTTACTGTTTTTATTTCTTTACTGGTCGTAAGTAATATCAAAAGGTAGTTAAGATATGCTCCAATGACTTGATTTATTATTTTCTATAAATAAGTATACTCGAATGTAAAGAAAAAACTGATAAATAATGCGAATTAAAGTATATGATATGTGAAGTTACTGAAACATACATCTGTTTTTTCTTTGTTTGTGGTTATAGATGAGGGAACCTACAACCATTTTCCGAGGTCGTTGATAATTACTGTTATCCGTCCCCAATTTACGCTTGAGGAGTTATTTGGAAGAACCAGGTGTGAACAGCCTTTGAAATTGATAGCACCATGTGAAATCAGACTGAATGATTCTGAGAAATCACTGAATGAACGCCTAAAATACATCCAAAACATTCCTAAGTAGCATACTAAAGCTTGACTATACAATCAACAGATTCAATCGCGCGCCCTACGATTGACTGCGCTACGTTTGTGTTCACGGTTGCATTGGAATTTATTACTTGGTTTCTGTCATGTTCTCCCGACGTTTGTATCTCAGGGTATTACCACTACGACTAAAGAATATTTATTATTCTTCGGTGTTATCCAACTCACACGGTTCCGTCCGAGCTGGATTTTCTGCTCGAAGCAAGAGACAAAAGCGTGCCGGGTGGTAGACTACGCTTGCAAACATTCCTCCCGTTAAGATGACGGTTCCGTCATTAATCAGTTCCAACATTCGCTCACTGTTTAGTAAACTGCCTGAATTCACGGATCTACTAACTCATCGCGTGTACACAAACACGTGTGTGATATGCATACAGGAATCGTGGTTCAACGGAAACATGGACGATTCGTTGGTAGACATACCCGGTTTTGCAAGTTTTCTAGAAGACAGAGAAAGAAGCAACCAGAAGTCCGAAGGCGGTGTAATAACGTAAATTAACTCCAGTTGGTGCGGCACGGCCGAAACTTTGTTTGTTTTCTCCTCTTATGTTATTGACTGCCTAACTGTCAAATCGACCTAGGTTTTCCCCTTATCGAAGCACAATTATTATAAATCTATATATTGCTCCTTTTTGCTTACAAACTGAACTTCGTTCTTTCTATGATGCATTTATTCCTTTCATTGCTCCCTTAGTGGACGATAATTTGATTTCAATTGTCGTTGACTTTTATCACGGATCAACCGAACCTTTACCTGCTTTTGGTAATTCAGATCTCTCTTTAACGCCCACCAGGGGAAATGCTATTTTTGAACAAGCTTATTACTAATCACCCTAATATCTTCTCTCTCAAACTGAAGGCGCCAATTTCGTCTGGTAACCACTGTCTCCTATGTCCTAGACCACAACTTTACTCTCGGTTAGTATACCCCGCTTTTATTCAAACAAAAAAATAAACATCAGAATTCGGAACCTTTCAGCCGACGAACTCCTTCTCCTCAGAAAATCTCTTGCTCATGGTTTTCCGTTCAACAGTCTCTATGTTCTGTTGAACATTTGACAGAAACAGCTAGCGTGATTTTCAATCTATGCTGTCCTATGGAGACAGCTTTTGTTCACACTGGTAGAATATGCTATCCGTGGCTGAACGCTCTTAAAGATAAAGAAACTAGCGTTCAAGATGCATCAAATAGCCACTCTCAAACAACGTACACTGCAAATCAGGTAAGAGATCAAAATACGGAATGCTTCATTCGCAAAGCACGTTCTGGGAGCTAGAGAAAAACGACGGCTATGGCAAGGGATCAGATTGCTTTATGGACAGAAGAAACGAACAACAAACAAAATTATGGATGTGGACAGCCTGAATACTGCATTCATCTATCCTTCGAATGAACTCCTATCTCCGTACCCCACAGATCCCCTATCTACTATAGACTCGGTCACCCATGAGGAGATCTATCATCATTTTAAAACCAGGAAAACCATGAATGCAGTTGGTCCCGATGGTTTATCTCCGGTGTTGCTCAAATATGGCGCTGGCTCAGTCACAGAATTGTTTACGTCCCTTATCAACCAATCAATTTACACATGTTTGATTCTGGTTTCCCGGAGACCGTTCACCATTGTTCCCATTCCTAAATCCTCTTCATCTAGCATTTTATCTAAACGCTTTTGTCCTATCGCCATCACACCCTCTAGACTTAAACTCGCAGAGCGCGCTATTCTCATCCGCTTACAGTCTGGTATTATTGTTCCCAATGACCCCCTCCGGTTTGAGTACAAGCCATATAGGTGCACTTTATTTGCAAATCTTTAGAAAAATCTCAAAAGTCGGTTATTTGTGTTTTCCTTGATTATTCCTCGGTTTTTGATACCGTTCCACGATCTCTTCTCATGCAAAAGGGACAGTCATTCGGTTGCCCCACCAGCTTGTTCTCACGTTTGAAAAATGATTTCACAGGGAGGACCCACAGGACGAAGGCAAATGGCACTACTTCAAAACCGTTAGTAAGCAATTACGGAATCCTTCAGGGTGCTGTGCTCTCCCATACTTATTTTCGACTTTCATCAGTGACTTACCCTTAATCCCACCAGCCAAGACCTTGAAGTATGCTGATGATGTGGTCGTATGTTAAGCCATCTAAAACTAATCGGACATAGAATCATTTTCCGACAATTTGTTGTAAGGGCAACCATTTTCGGACCAATCTGGTCTCCGACTGAATACTTGTAACTGCTTTGAATGCATTTTCAGTCTTTCCCGATCCGAATAGCCCCTGAATCCTTCATCAATTCCTTACTCATCACCAGAACACATACCACGAAATACCATGGAGTTACCATAGATAGCTATGTACGGTGGTCCTTTCACTTGCTTGCTTGTGTTGGTAGACTGCGTCACTTATCTTTTCAAATGCGCAAGCTACGATAATTTCGCGTCAGACATAAAACTGTATGTTCCTTTATTTTTCAATGGATTTTTCCTATCATACTTTATTGTTCGCCCGTTATTTTCCAGGGTCTACTTAGAAAGGACTTCATTACTCTACGTCGCGGTTTAGTGATTATCAGCCGTGTTTCTCTTATTCCTTTAAACACTTTGGTCACAAATTGTTTAATTTGCATATCATTTCATGTGAGAATTTCTCTCATAAAATACTCAATGACCCCAGTCATCTTCACAATCTCGACTTATCTGCTTGCCGTTCCCACGCTTCAACCCGATCCACTTTTCACTGCTTACCCTCCGGCATAAACATTTACCGCAACTCAACGGTTCCCTATCTGGCTCGTATTCTCACTGATACGGTGAGGATCCGTACCGAACTCATTATAAACTTACAAAAATGAACACCTATTCAAGTTTATCATTGTTGTATATTACCTTCCATTTCATTTTTTTCCCACTGAAACGGTGAACACATTTTAGACTTAAATATGGGCACAGGTCATCTATAATACAATAATACAATAATAATACAAGCTAGTGGAGGCAAACAACACCCCAAATTATTCCCGTACCATGACTTAGGTGGAAAGGAAATCTATGAGCACGCAATAGTGAAAATCCCAAACCGCAGGAGACTAAAGGGGATTTCTGCAAAGCAGAGTCCACAAATATCATTTTCCTTATGCGTTCTTGCAGTAAACAAAAATAATAAAGCTTGCAGCAAATAATACGTTTTCAGCTTATCTGGTAGTAAATGACCTGCACAGTCGGCCAAGCCAAGCACATATACGCATTTTTTGGCTCTGCGAAGGAGATCTCAGCAAAATGGCTGAGATTTCATTCCTCCGACCCCAGATTCTGCTTTTACCTAGTCTTTATCGTTCTCAATTTAGTGCCTCCCGTGATCAAGCAGCTGAGTTTTAATATTGAATTCACTTCGAAATGTCGGTAGCCAAGAACGTGTATAACACATTTTACATAAGGAAAGCAGAACCAAAATAAATCATGAACGACCGCTGGGTATCAGTGCACGTTTTTCGACAACAAATCCATTACCCGAGGCGGTGTGAATGCATGCTCCAACATTTTCCATGAAACAGACAAATCGAATGGATTTTATTATTATACACATAAAAACTCAATTCAATTTTCCAAATAATAATAACCAAATATCCAATTTTTTTCCTTTTGTTGTTGAATTTACTTTCTCCACCAAGCAGAAAGTGTTATTTAACGAATTTTGTCCAAATTTATCTATATCAGCTCGTTCCCTTCAAACGGACTCGACGAACATGCAAGGTAATAAACTTTAATAGTGATCTAGAGGACAATACAATGAACTCTTAGCGTTAGTTCAATAAATGTAATTTGTTGGTGTAAGTTTTTGCAAATTTAGTACTTCATTGGCAAAACCCATAACGTGTTGATCACCAGTCAGTGGCCAGCTTTACTCACTACGGATAGATGATATTTTGGGTTTTATTATCTTTTACTCACTTAGAATACAGTTATATACTCAGTTTTGTAAATAGAAATGTGGTCACTCAAAGGCTGTCTGCGAGGTCAAAGAGAACAGGAAAAATGAGCAACGGTGGTGGGATTCGAGGCTATGACCTCTGGACAGCTAATGTGATGACCTTCACCGTTGGACCTTCGCCATTCTCTGTTGTAGGAAAAGTAAACGGTTTTTGTAGTTTTTTGATGAAATCTTAGAGTCTAGCGAAAATGAAGAGAATAACTGTTTGTTCGGATGAGTAAGTTCAATAAAGAATGAAGGCTGTGATGAAGTAACCCTAGACCAAGGGGTTACAATCCATCAGCAACTAACAAGGAGATTGATTAACTCCTTGATTGCAAGAGCAACGCCAATTTTTGTTTTCTTTCTTAAGTTTTCATTCACCACTTAACCGATGCTCAAACAATCTCTGAACTTCTCACCCTCCCCCGTAACTATGCTCTTTTCAGCTTGATGAAAAAACTGGCACTCTGATGGTCGGTCCAAACGGACTGGATCGGGAACGCCAATCCTCGTACAAATTTGTCGTGACCGTGTCCGACGGAGCAGCCACCCTCGGTAGACCAGCTCTCGCGCCTCGGGAGCGTCATGTGGTCCAAACCGTGGTCCATATTACTGTTGAAGACGAAAATGACAATGCGCCCAGGATCATCTACCCCGAAAGTCATACGGTGAGTACATTGGCGTTGCAGGAGAACACATTAATTATAATTTGATTATTAAGTTAAAATATAAAAAAACTTAAAATAAGAGATGTAAAAACTGATACCACAAAAAAGAATTTAATTTACTGTGGGAACTGAGTGTCGAAAAACTGCGGTATTTTCTTGGTGAAACTTATCAACTAATCAGGATTGCATCAAAGGTAGTATTCTTAACTCTGGAAGCGTAGTATATTTGAACCGAGAAATTTCGAAATATCGCTGAATGTGGGATCTCACACTTCTGTATCAATTAAGACAAGGTGCGTTTCAATTTTACAAGAATCTCGATACCTTCTTTTATTGTGTGTTCCTCTGGTCAATGGAACAGCTTATGTAGCCTCTTCGTTTCGTACTTCGGTGTGAGAGATAACGAAACTTTATCATACTTTGAATAGTGCTTGAGAGTGATAGGTAAAAGAGCAGTGTAACATATAATCATTCCTCTATCTGCTCACCAACTCTTCGTTTTGTTTGTACACAAGTGATGCCTACGTGACTATCTGATTTTAAAATACTCTCCTATTTTACATGTTCTTTATTGTATCTCAACTTATTTTCACAGGCGACGTTCACACTAGCATGTCCAATCCTACAACAACAACTTCCTCACACAATTGCTCAGATCGCTGTAAACGATTCGGATACCGGGATCAATGCCGAGGTGTTCTATCATCTGAGCCCGGCAACTGAGTCCATTGCCACTGAACGTCAGTCAAACATCGCTAATTCCGATTTGCGGAACGACTCGGTCAATTTGAACGAGACCACACCGGGACCGACTTTCACTAGCTCAGATCCGGATGTTTCCAATACTATCCACCTTGTCCCATTTCAAATTGATCCTCAGAATGGGCTCCTGATGATTGTGAACTCACCGGTGGACGAACAGAATAGAGACATCTGTGCGATGGATCGAGCACACAGTTCTGGGATAAGTGGTGCTTCCGGGGTCAATGGGTTGACGGTACTCGCCGAGTATCGTCTTCGGGTGATTGTGACCGACCGAGGAATTCCACCACTTTCCAGTTCTGTCATCCTGTTTGTGCGTATAGTGCCTAACGCGCCGATGGATGTAAGTAACAGGGGACAGTACCGTCTTTTGTGGAATGAATATGAACAATGAAGTGAAGGATTTTTTAGGCGGATTATCGTGCAAAAAATTGAGAATAAAAGTGATTGATAAATTATTTTGTTCATGTCAGCTTTTGTTATCCGAGTTCCGGCACAGAGATGTTACCCGTGCGCAATGCTGATGAATCCCACCGAGGAAAAGCAACAGTCCAGAGCTTTTAGTTATCTGTATCACAGATTCCATTGTATATTCCGAAACCAAATGGCCACAAATATGGGAACAGAAGGATTCAGTTAGGACTGGGAGAGGAGGATGCAAATTTGTGCTGAAGAATGAGTCATTGTGCTGCATCACAACGTCATGTGAATGGAGATGAAAGACACTTCTGTTTGTGGGAATACGATTGATATTGACGACCTGAAACACAACACCATGACCGTAAAAACACTAATGCACGAATGCGGATGGGCACTAAGTTGAACAGCTGAAAAACGAAATTTAGTCTAAATCTGAGGCAATTCATTGACGAACAATGTTCTATCGGATCGGAGTTGGGCAAAACGAGTGCCGGAGATTTATTGCAAAAAGCATACACGAATGACCGAAAATTATTTGATTATATGCACAAAACTGTATTTATTGTCCTGTGGCGTGTCAACAAGCTATTCTGTATTCAACGCAATCTTTTCGTTGAACAAGTCCAGATTGGGAACAGACGGCACTATGTTTGCGCATCACAGCAAATACAGAAAAGCTGTGTTGTGGGTCTTAGAAAATAGTTATCTGTAACCTACCTGCTAGTTAGCATTGAACACTATAAATTAGCTTTGATGAAATTGACTGGGTGAGTCGATGCGTTTATAATGTGGGCTTCAGACTGATGCCGTAGAAATGAGGCCCCAGAATTTCAAGTTTTGGTTTCCTGTATTAAGTAGTGATTGTGATGGCAGTAGAATAAGTGCAATGTAAATTGTGATCCCTTTTTCTTATCTCGTTTTTGCACGATAAATAAGATGGATCAGCGGATTTGTTTATTTCCCTCAGGAACAAGGATACCGATAGCGAGATGTCCCTTTGACGAATATGGAATTATCAAGTGTAATCATACTGCGACTTCAACGCAATAAAATTTATTCAATAGATTCCAGATTGTTTTTTAATTAAGACTATAAATCACGTCCGTGAATAGAACTTATACCCGAACACATCTTGGATTAATTCCAGTTATGGTTAGGAACAGATCATCTGACGTCGTGATAAATTCAGAACAATTTATTAGGCCAGTGCTTACTCAATTACGAAATGACTGTGGACGGTTATTTCTCGCTCAATCTCCAATGGTGTCATTGAATCCTTCATCAGTCTCCCGATTCACCCCTACGACAACCGGGACAACTTCCTCCGTATCTCGTGGATCGCTACAACCCTCGTGTAGGACTATCCAGCGCCTATGATAACCCATCTGGAGGAAATATGGACGGGACAAATCAGCGATTAGGAAAACTTCATGCTTCACTCACACCATCCTTGGCTTCGGATTCCCGCCCGGGGAACGAGTCACCATTGTTAACCTCGTTGAGTTCACCGGATGTGTTTTGGGCGGCCACTATCTGCCTGACAATTGCCACCGGGGTGCTCATTTTCCTGATTGTTCTGATCACTATGGTTACGTGTCATCGACGCATGAAACCGGTTGCACGGCACAACGATGGGCCGGGTGAAACCCGCCAGAACGAATGGGCACAGTCAGATGAAGGAACATACGACTCCCGCTACGAGTCGCGTCCATTCGATAACGTGGAAATGAACATTTCGAAAAATTCTCCAGGTGGGTTCTATGTAACTTGCATGGGAACATCACGAAGTGTTACCATATCACTGACTTAGCACTTCCCTTAGTTTTCGACTCAGTTGCTTATCAAACTGAGAACTTACTCACCATTTAAACCTTTGATATGGAGATATGCAGCAGTACATATATATATATATAACTAAAGTACTAATGTTTATTGTAAATCATAGAAAGTGTACTGCATTTTTGAGGTTAGTTGGCGTCAACACTAAATGATATGATTGAATTTGTTTGATAATGATCGCCAAATAGCACTAAGAAACCGATTTGTTTTTCTTGTAATCTATCATCAGCGTGTCTCTTTTGTTTCTCTATCGGAGATAGAATCCTAAGGCTTTAGATGAGGAATCGAAACCCTTTCATTATGGTCGAAGATCCCCGATTTGAAGGAAAGGATATGAAATCCCAAGCTGTGAAATACATGCTGAAGGCCTGTGCCTGGTACCTGTGAAAATCGACTAGGCTGAGATAAGCAAGAGCCCGTAACAAATTTATGGGCTGGTTTTTGCCATGAATGTGTCTTACTTGGAAAAATATGGTAATGGCCAGTGCAAAGTCTTCCCACAGTACAATAGGATTACAATATCAATGGCGATTTAAGTACCCTAGTCCAAATGAGAGGAATTCCTGAAGAAGGTAAAGGGGCCTGTATAATATAATTTCCCTTAATGTGGGTAGTCTATTAGACTTGTAAAAATCTAATCATTCGTGGGTTTTCAAGGTAATGAATGTAACAATTGGGCTCTTTCAAATATTGTTTTAATTCATGATCCCAAAGTCACTCCTCTATTTGTCCTTGCTCATTTGACACCAATTTTTTGAGGATAACGCTTTATCCAAATAGATCCGACGAAATTATTGCACTATCGCAACCTAGTAGGTTGTTTTGAGCTCGAGTTTTCTCCGAACTATGTCACCCCCACCTCAAAAAGATGAGCCACTGTCAACTGCCAAGTAACGGTTAGAAAGTACTGAAGAACTTCTCCTTACTTTCGATAACTAAATTAGTTTACTGAAAACAACCCAGGATGAGGTTGCCAAATGATTAGTATGAATTGGAAAGCTGAGTGGCCGTGGTAGAATGGATGTGGTTTGGTTATCTATTAAAATCGAATGAATCCCGGCTTGTTCCTCGTCGTATAGCTATCATTATGCGTGCAAAGCAGAGTGGTGAGCGGAAATCGGATTTTACATTAGAACTTGTTTAAAATGAGTTTTGGTTCTTCAACATGCGTGTGTAGGGAAGCGGGAACAGGCTTGAGGCAAAATAAAATTTATAATTATACTAAGAGAAGGAATAATGTGATGTAAATGGATTACTCGGGACAACGTCGCACCGCATATATGCTTATATATATATGTATATATATATATATATATATATATATATACAAAGAGTGTGTGACTACTTATTCGTTGGTCCCAATCCACTGTGACTGTTTTTTGTGCAATGAGAGCAATAAATCCGTCAAATGCACACCTTACCGGANTAATTAATCAGCGATTTCCGTATGCGAGCAAGGAACAATGAGCAGATGTACTAATGGTCTGTCGGAGAAGGACCATTTATTTATTCCCCTAGAAGATGTAAACTGATGCAGTTTGATGCGAGAAGAAGAAAACGCACAGATTGCCCTCAATGGGCTGGTGCGAAACTGTTTGATTTACTATGCTTCTGAGATTTGGGTGTTTACCAAAGAGGAAAGTCATAGGTGTTAGTTTATCGTAGTCAATCTGCACAGATAATTTGAGTGACTGGCTAAAAAAATAGGAACGAGCAACATATACACGCTTATAGAAACTGCTACATTGTGTCCCATTATTCCATGGTGTTACACAGTTTCCTGGATGTTGAAGTGCAATGTGTACTACTGGTTCATCAAGTCTCCACCAGAAATACTCCATCCTGGATGCAGAGACAAATTGAGATGGTGGAAAATGTCAGGTGGTGTATAGACCTACAGCAGTGGAGTGATGCTTGCATTTCGGGCGATATTCTGGGTGGTGGCTAATGGGTGACAACGTGCGCAGCAGATGATGTGGGTGGTAAAAGTTTGGCAATATGTGAAATGCCAAACAAAAATCTCCTGGAAAGTGACAATGACGAATAATATCTCACCGTGATAGATGCAATACTTCCCAAAAGGTATTCAAATGTATTACATTGGTGATTCGCGTTTTGGAACGTTGAAAAGGCGTGTGATCTCGTTACAGCTACACATATGGTGTTTAAGTAGTGCCCTCATGGTAGGGTCAAACGGACACTAAAACGATCGTACAAACAGTTTCAATTGGTATTCACAGAGTAAAACAATTGCGCCAGACCTCTAGGAAGAGTTAACTGAATACCTTTGACTTTCTGAAACGAAATATTTGTTGGTGTTTGAAGCCAGACGAAGTAATGAAACTAATTATTGTGGCGTAGTGATATGATCGAACATTTCGATGCGTTCCGTTCAAGTCACACTTTGAAGATGGTTGATGGGTTTCACTAAACCATTTAGGAGGTGTTAGTGGACGATCCAGTTGTGTCACTGCATATCCGATTTCGGCTCCCTCTGCAACATTATTTCTATGGCAGCAGGATGTTGGCTAGGGCGTTTACAATAAAGAAGAAAGATCAAGCAAGGAACTCTGAAAAATCCTTTGAGAAAAGACGAAAGAATCGTAGTACCGTTTCTTTCTTTGTACCCTCAAATGCATTTCCGAGGTTCAAACAAACAACACCCAACGATTCACTCTGGTCCACTGGATTTTCCGATCCACCTCGGATCACAATGCAATTTGGTGACCAACCATGGATTTTGCAAAACCCCTCATACGCTGAAAATCGTAGATAACATTTCTCCAAATAACGTCTCGAAAAGTGCGCACTATAAGATTGCATTACATTTGAGAATATGGCTTTTTAGTTAGCTAGATCTCTACGGTTCTAAATTAAGAGAATTCACCTTCATTTACTATATATAATATGGTAAACGAAATCAATCCATCAGGAAAAATTGTAGATACATGGTCTTGAAATCAGTTACAAGGATAAGGATGAGTTTGACTAACATCATTTATCATTTTTGTGTTGATGGAAGCTGAGATATTTTTTTAATACATGCATACAGTGAGATTTGCGGTGCTATATAAACAAAGTTGTGCCTAATACCTACGTGTATTCTGGTTTTCTGATCTTCTCCTAAAATATATCTGATACAATGTATATATCCATCTAGTATTTTTCGAGCACCTCGAGTTCAAAACCATCGAATCCATAAAATACGTTCGCTTTGGTGCAATATTCGATTTCATCCAGAAACTTGACAGGCATCACTCCCTCTTTCAACCAATCAATTGAAACTCCGCTTAATCGTTTGACCGTATGCAATTATTCGTCTCAGATTTGTTCTATAAGTGTAAATGTGATTGTTGGCTAATTCAGTTACGACCAACCAAGCACTTGAAGATCTCCTAAATCGCATATGAGAGCATTTATTGACTTTGCTGATTCGCGCATTTCTGAAGCGCTCTTCCCGAGAACGAGAACGTATTGTGGAGATCGTGACCACGCAAGGCGGTCTTTGTGTATCCAAGTACAGATTTGCAAATAGAGTTGTGCAACGAATAAGTGAATGAAATTCTATTATTTGGTCCGATAAATCAGATGGCTGGGTTTTCCGTTTTGTTTCCTATATCCTTTGAAAATGTATGAGGATGCAATCAATGTTCACTAGGGTTCAACTTTTGAAAACATTCAAACGACTGAGTTAAGTTGCCTCCAGATATCATCACTAAGATCCAAGTTATTTAGTATCTTCCTAAAACCATTGGTTTCGATAACTGACTGACTTTACGGATGAGATAAAACCTACATCGAAGGCAGGAAAAACTGGGAGATTGGGAATTAATCGACGCAGGTTAAATACCAACACAACGCGCCGACTTCAATTAATCCAGAAAGCATTAAGTGACACGTCATGTAATAAACGATAATTGACTCCTAGCGAATTCAGGTTGCCCACATTTAAAGTTGGGACTCATTATGCTGCAATCTGTTGAACATTTTATTTCCTTTCCGTCGTTAATTGCTACATGTAACTGGGCATGTACCTTATGTAGGCAATTGTAATTGTAATGATGAATATTATTCTAACATGTTTTGTACGGCACCGTCTGGATTCAGACATGTGTGAGTAGGTATATGTTTAATTTCAATTTCAATTTTTTTAACTTATTTAGGTGTAAAGCCGATATTCCAGTTAAAGGTGCACAAGTTGGAGAGAGTGGGGAAAAACCTACAATATGATGTTTGTGGTTTTCCTATTCAGATCATTTAATCTGGGCACTCATGGTCAGGCACGTTTAATTGACACTTATGCAGACTAGAAACTACGTAGATCGAAGTAGACGAGATTTAAATTATTGTCCATACCTAAAGCATTTTTACAGGTGATATATATAATGAAACTCCATTAGATTATAAAGAAAGTATTTTAGTACATCACAATTGGCCAATACTCTGCAATTAGTTTTGATGAAGCAAAGGACACTCATTGGCGTTGTGTTCAAAACACCCTAGTTTCATTTCTATTGTTGGTCAACTGGTGTGACCACGATTAAACGTGACACCACAATCCCATTCGCACACGCCATTTGACNNCCCCCCCCCCGCCGGTTCCCGCAGGGCACAACATGTCAGATTTCAACCTCGCAGGCATTGTTGGATAAGTGCAAACTGATGGGATTCATCAAAACCTATGACCTTTGAATTCCTCACTCGTTCATGCCAGCTAGAAGAGCTGCAGCGTACCCTTCCGCTTGGGTTCTTCACAAATCCCTAAGCTAAAACACACAAACACGACCCTCGTTGGTTCAGCAAATCATCCGTCGCAAAGTAAAAAATCCGACCCGATCTAACCCAATTTGATCGAGTCCGGCATTCGACCGGAACGATACAAATAGGTCCCGTTTGTATACACGCCAGTGTT